CCTAGTGATATTGAAGTTTATGGAAAAGGAAATAAACTATGCATGTTTCAGAGTAAGAATATCAAATGAGTCATATAACTTTTACATGGAGCATAAGATAGAATAGAAATCTTGAATATAAGTATCTGCTACAATTAAAAAATAAATTTCTTAAAAATATTTCTATGGAAAATAATTTCAATTTTTTGAGATTAAAATATTCTGAATATGCAATGTTTCAGATACCACTGTTTTATGCTAACAGATGATATTCTCACTCCATGTGTGTTTATATATGCCAGTTTTTCAGAATTATGTGCATGTGTGCATGTGCACATGAACATGAGATATCAGTGTTTGTATCTGTAGAGCCCTGTAAAATATCTTTTCATATAGGTCAATCATAACTCTTACACTTTCATAGGTATTAGTAATAAAAAGTAGGTCATAAAATAATGTTTAAATGAAAAGTATATCTTTCCTATTTAGTTTATATTAAGAATTTGTATCTTTTTAGCTTAAAAGGTAATTTATTATGTGTTTCATGTACTGAACTAACTGATCTTGGAACAGATTGACTTATGAAAACAAAATTGTGAGTCTGAGCACAGAGGGACCATTATAAAGCTTAGCATAGAGGAAATTCATGAGCCACCCAGACATTCAGTCCTATCACATATAATATTGGGTTTTTAAGCTTAAAAGATCTTTTTACTAGTTCTAGGTATGCTGTCTACAGTTCCCACCATAAGTGATGCAGCCAACACTTGGAGAGTGGTTTGAAATTTTAAAGGTAAGAGAAAATATTTTTTTTGGTGGGTGGACCATTCCTGCTTGCCTGTCTTGCTGTTGAAGCTAATAAATAATAAAACTTTGGATATCTTGTCTGAGAGTTCCTTCTACAACCCTCCCTTCCTTTTTCCTAGATTGAATAGTACAGAACTGAATTATCCAACTAGTTCCTAAAATGACCTTCTCTACAGAAAATCATCATGTATCTTTCAAACTATCAGGTAATAAGACTGTCCTCAATGAAATACTGTATCAGCAAACAATCAGTAGTTAAACCAAAAATAAGAAAAACTCTAGTCCCTAACTTAATGTTTTGTTTACCATCACAATTGGTGGTGAACTGGGACAAGATTACTTGATTTTAGTGACTGAACACTTAGGCCTAGAGAGGGAGACATAATTAGATATACCCTTAAACTGCAATTGGACCCCAGAGTTCCTCCCCACTCCTTCTCTAGCCATGGGCACTTAAGGAGGGGTACCTAGCTGCTAACTAGTAAGCCAGCAGGGAGTGTACGCTGTACACCAACTCTCTGTGCTTAGAGACTATCAGTGGTGCACAAACTGAGCTGAGGAAGCTAGTCTTTTTCTAGAGGAAGTTGTTTCCCCTCCATCAATGTGCTCTCCCCCACTACATATGTCTTTCTGTTATTTGTTTCTTTGTTTGTTTGTTTTATTTTGAAATGGGGTCTTGTTACATATCCTAGGCTGGAAAATAATTCCTGGGCTCAAGAAATCTGTCTGCCTCAGCTTCCCTTAGCCTCCTGAATGCCATTTTCCTAAGTGAAGAAACAAGAGAAAGTAACTTTGCCTGTGTGAACATTCTTTCACCACCTTTAGAGACAGTTCTTTGTGAAGAACATCAGCTCTGCCTCCACTTTGCTTTGTAAACATGGGCAAAGCTGTTTAACATTTATGAGTTTCTGTTTATTCTTTGAAACCTGGATAAAAACAACCTCTGTCTTAAACAGAATCTTTACAGACTCAACAAGATGGTGCATGTAAAGAATTTAGCTTTATTCTAAGTGCTTCACAAATGATTGCCGTAGTTACTGCACAAACAATATGGCACTCCACTCTCCCCATTCATGTCCATTAATACAGATCCATTCAGGAAAACTTGGTACCCAAACCATTTCTGAAAACTAGGGAAAAAGTGGCTTTTGCTGAATAAAGAGAACACCCAAGCTAGGCCTTGTCAAGACTGATCTCTCAAGTTTGGCCTTAAAGTCAAAGAATCCTGAAAGTCGAAGAATCAGGTCAAGGGCAGTTATAAGACAGGAAAAGAAACAACACACTGTGTGTCTACTTCACCTCAGACATGATGCTACAACCTGATTATATATTCTCTATTTTAAGAGAAACACAACAATTTTATTACATATGACCATATGTGTATTTACATTTATATTACATGATTTCTAGTATATATGAAGACACTGAGGACATGAGAAGTAACATGGGCCAGAATTAGCCAAACAGTAGTGGCATAGATGTTACTTGAGTAGTTCCACCTGTCTGTATAACCTAAGTTGTACTCAGACCATGATGCTATTTTCCTGCCATAATTCAAGCTAAGTTGATTTCAGTCCCCTCTGTTCCAAATGAAACTTTCTCCTCAGTGTCCCAATTAAGTTTCTTAGTATCTCATACCCATTAATAATAGCAGTTTAGAACTGCCTGAATAACTTTTAAAAAGGCAGTTTAAAATGTGCCTGTCAGCATTATCAGCATTAGACCCAGCTAGTTGGTCTGGTTTTTTGGTTGTTTTTATTTTTATTTATTTTGTTGTTGTTGTTGTTTACTTTTTTCTCAAGATCTGACTCGTTTTTAGCCTCTTTTTTTTTTTTTTTTAATTCAGTAGTGGTTCAAAGTAACAGGAAGCTTTGGGCTTCTATGTGATAGAAGGATATTTACTCAGGTTTAACTCTTCCATCTCTATTAGTAAGGTCTTGGAAAACTATGCTGCAAAGCAAAGTGTAATTACTCTAGAGCATCTTACTGGCAGGTTAATTCTAGTTATGTTTATGCATCCTCCAAAGGAGATGTAAAGCTTATGCTCACCAGTGTCAAAATGAGTCATTTCAAAGTGCTTCCTGTCAACCCCTTAAAAAATTGATGTACTAATGCCTTCTATATTCTGGAGGCTCTTTAGTGGTATATCATGCATTTAAGTTTCAGGGACATAATCTGCAATCTAATTTTGTAGCTTTCTCTTTGAAGTCTGTTACCCCCAAGATATAGTGTCATAATTATTCATTCAAACTCCATGAACTGTCTTCAGTAATTGTTCTGTAACTTGTCCTGCTGAGAAATTCATAGAGGATATCTGAATGGGTCAAAGTGGAAGTAGTGAATTGGGGTTATTTTCACTCATGGAAAAGATGTAACATTTGTGAGATGTTTGTTCTTAGAGACATAATTCAATTGCATTATGAAGCGCTTTTGAAATCCTAGGTGAAGAGAACCTCAATAATGCACACTCAGATTCTTTAAGGCAATAATCTTATTTTCTGGTCTGCATCCTCTTGTCAGGAAGTGTTTTTCATGAAGCCATATAGCTGCAATATGTTTGTGGTCAGTCACTAGCTGACCTGGGGTGTGTACCTTCCTAGAAATGGAACTCAAAAATTAATTGGTTTCTTTTACACAAATGTAATAGATTCAGATGTTATTGAAAGTGCTTAAGTTTAAAACTACAGTGGATTAACAATGCCACAAGTGGCCTGACAGTTTGAACTTGAAGGCAGGTATCTCATCTTTCTATTTCTGTACCCTTTTCAATCAGGAATCTTCTGCTGCCCACATTTTTCTTGAGATAGCTCTTTATTATTTTTCAACAATAATTACCTAAGCCATAGCCTGAAAATCCCTTGTGAAAAGAGTAAGGGCAATAAATGAATCAATTAATTATTTTGAAGAAATAGAACATTTTTTCTTCTTTTCTATAGGTCATGGATGAAGGGATAACCCACCATTTATCTGAGATTTATGCAAGTCACATCCTTCTTAAAACTGAAATCAATTTTAAAAAATGTATACCATGTAAAATAAACTTCCAAATATACTATTAGATATAAAAACAGTCTAACAATATCCCTGCCCCCAAGTTTCAAGACAGGGACTCTTCCTCAATCCATATAAACCTCACAGTAAACAAATACAGAATATACTACCTGTACTTGAAAGTACTAAACCTCCATATTTGGCTGAAAAGACAGCCAAGGAAGGATATTTATAATTCAGCAATAGTCTTTTAATTCTCTAGGTAACCAAGGCTCTAATTACATAGAACATACTTTTATGGTTAAGGTCTTCTGATTTTGCAAAACCTATGCAACACATCCTTTCTCTGCCTGTAATTTAACAAACTCCTTGCTTAAAAATGTCTTCCCAATGCAATGGATTACAGTGCATGGAGTCTCTGTACCTGTCAATCTTTATAACCCTCCCATAATATTTTCCTCCCTCAAACACTGCATTCTGTAAGTTAGAGGTTCATTATGAATACATCTACCTATTATTTGCTTTTCTGCTTGACACAGAATAAATTCACAGATACAAATCATATAAAACCAGATGATGTCATTTTTTAAAAATATATATATATACGTATAATACATTTTTTTTAACCATGGAGAAAGACCAGTCAGTAGCTTGATGATTGTTGCCTGGAAATGAAGACCCAATTGTAGAAGCAGATGCAAGCACCATAGTAACTCTAATAGGAGAAGGTTTGGGGGATGTTAATAAAAAACAACAATCCTAATACTAAACAAACACTTCAGGTCCTCATAGCCAGGGGCATGGCAGTGTGCACTTGAATTCTCACCCAAAGCTCTCAGAGTTCTAGATACATACTCGGCAGACTAAAGATACAAATCCCAAAATGTGTGCATCATGGCCCCTCTGGGGCACTGATGGCCGTTATGCACACTGGCACGACAGGGCAGGGAACTAGACCCACACTCACACAGGTATCTCTTCCCTGCAGGCCACCCAGCAGCGACACCTCTAGTGGTAATCACCCTGGGCTGGCAGGTATTCACAGGCACACTCAGGGGAGCTTTGGAAAACCCTGGGAGGGGGTTAGGGAAAGGGTCGGTCATCTGGGGACAGCAGCGCGCACCCTGACACTATCTGCTTGCCTCCTGTACTGTCCAGGACCTGAATTCACTCCGGAGGTGCCCGGAAGATCTGCATTATGCCAAGGCGGTGGGCCAACTCACCTCCACGAAATAAAAGCAGGGCAGGAGGGTGACGCTGTCCTTGATCACTTTGCCCTTTGGCCTCTCCTTCGCCGACATCCCGGCCGCCTGCCCGGGTCTGCGTCCTCCGCCGGGCGAGGTGTGCACAGTGCAGCCGAGGCGAGCTGCCTCCTCCAGCCGCAAGCGCCCGGCGCGGCTGATGTCACATTCCCCGCGGGCACCGCTGGAGCCAGCGCGCTGCATGCAGCGCCCCCGCCTTCTCCCCTCCCCTCTTTGCTGCAACCCAGCGGACCCTGAGCCGGCAGGTCCTCTGCCTCCCTTGCTCTGGCTCCCGCTCCTGGTTTTCTAGAGAGAAACGTCCAGCTCCCTCCTCCAAGCTGTTGCTGCAATGGCTTCTCCTCCCCTGTCACCCTCTTTCGGCTCTCCACCGCCTTGGCAACGCTCCAAGGATGTGGGAGCTTGACGTCAAGAATCGCAAAAGAGGGAAGCTCTCCTGGTGTTTCTGCAGTAGCTTGGCTGAGGTGCTGAGGCACCCAGTCCCCTCCTGGGAAGCCACCTGGGTCACTCCAGAAATACTAACTTGAGGACTCCTGGAGAATAGCAGCTGGCCCAGCATACCACCCACAACAAGAAAACCAATCTCTACATTCCTGAAATAAAACTTGCTCTTCTTACTGTAATTTAGGCCCTGGTAAGAACTCACTAAGTCTGGCTGCTCGTTCCTTCTGAGGATCTCTGCCTGGGAGAATTCCTGACACCCACTATTAAATACTATCAGCTTTGGGACATGGTCCCGGTTTTCCTGCTTCAAAAGAGGCAGATGGTGCAATGGACATCCTCATTGCACCCAAAGACCAGGACATATTCTAACCTTACTCCTAGTACAATGTCAGCGTTAAAACCAACAAGTCTTCAGATGATTTCTGGTGGTGGATGTGGCTGCTCTCAACTTTGTGATTCTTTTGGCAACTCAAAAGTGCAAAGTGGTTCAGAGGAAAGAAACTTTGCATGAAACTTTGCATAACATTAATGAAGATAACCCATTTCTGTTCTCACATACCCTAGGCCATTTCCAACATCTTCAAAATCTCCTTATCAAGCGTGTGACAATCTATTCCTAGTCCGCTTTTCAGCTGGCCTTCTCAGTTTCTACTCCAATAGGTCTTTGGCAATATGGAGACCACACCATCCACTAACATAGTTAAATGTTTCATTGTTGTTACTGCCTCAAATCCTCATATACCTCTGCCAACACTGGGTTTCAATCCAGCAGAGTCATCACTCATTTCCCCTTTCCAATTTACCATACTCACCTGCAAAATCTCAGCCTTAGATTAAAGGAAGTCTCAGTTGTTCCAGAACAACTGAAGGTGGCTGGAGAAAAACGAAAAATTGCATAATCTTGTCCCTCCGAACAAACTGTAAGCAGGTCCACTACCTACAATCCTAGTGTTTTTTCAGTTTGTTACTACTATCCCATTCATACCTTCTCCTCATTTCTCAAATTTCTTCATTCTCTGCTAATGGCTTCAAACTCATTACTTTCATAAAATATAAGTCCTACAAGAGAACTATCCCATCTTCCAGAACTAGTTGCTAGCCCTACTCCAACCACAGCTACTGCCATCTCTTGGCTAGATTGGCACAATTAATAGGCTCCTAACTATCCTTCCAGCATCTTCCCTTACCACCTACCAACTATAAACTAGTCATTACATAGAGTGAAAAGTAAATTCATTTGTGTTATTTCTCTGCCAAAACTTTCTAAGGCCTTCTTCTCACTGTGTTCAGCAGAAAAATCTAAACTCCTCATCTTTTCATGAGTCTCACTGGCTCTGCCTGGTTCTTACATCTTATTCACATAGCTCTATGTCTCAATGGCAAGCAACTCAGTCTAGATTTGTACTGCCTCAGGGTCTTTGTACATAGTGACTATTTGTTCACAAACTCTGTTCTAGAAACATTGCTTGGTTAACCCCTTAATCCATGCCACTGTTCAAATTTTAGCTTATCAGGGAAGTTTTCCTTGACATACTCTTGAAGTAGCATTCTTAACACCAGACTTTTCTTTTATTCTTTAATTTTGATATTATTTTCTTTTGCTTTATAGAACTTATCACTATCTAATAGTTTAATAAGTATTGCCTTGTTAATTTTTTTTTCTGCCTTGTCCACTTGAATGTAAACCCCATAAGGTCTAGGACCTTTTCATCATGTGGTAACAGGAACTGTGCTTGGCAAAGAGAAGGTGTTCAGTAAACATTTGTGAAGAAATGAACTGATCAATTAAATTGAATGATGTATATAAAATCATGCAGCACAAGTTCCTTGCACATATTATGTACTCAATAATTGTTGGTTGATTCCATTTGTTAACTACTATGTAACTCATCATTGACTATACCTCTCATTACTACCAAAGTTACTTTGTGTGTTGGGGCAGACTTTTTTTAAAAATTTTCTTAGTAACTAATAAAATTTATAATTCTTGATTAAGATAAAAAGCAAGTTAGAATAATTTTAAGTTGTTATAATTTATCATCCTGGAAATTGCATTTCTACAAAAGGGGATTTAAACAGGAGACTAAAATTATAGCTTCCGAATTCATTAGTAACAAACTGAAGCCCTACAATAAAATATCAGAGATTCATGCTGAATACATGTTGACAATTCAAGAAGTTCTTGAAATATTAGAAAGGAACTCCTCTTCCCTCCCTAGCTCGTCTGCCCTGATAGATCTTCCATCCTTGTTAAGCATCAGGAAATGCTTGAGAATTCAAAGCCAATTCTATTGCAAATACTTTACTCTTCCCTACCCTAGATTCTCCTTCTTTCTCTCTTTTCTTTTACAATATTGTATTTCTTTTTATTTTATTTAATTTATTTATATGTGACAGCAGAATGCATTACAATTCTTATTACACACATAGAGCATAATTTTTCATATCTCTGGTTGTATACAAAGTATATTCACACCAATTCGTGTCTTTATACCTGTACTTTGGATAATAATGATCATCACATTCCACCATCATTTATAGCGCTATGCCCCCTCCCTACTCCTCCGACAACTCTGCCCTATCTAGAGTTCATCTATTCCTCTCATTCTCTCTCTCCCTATCCCATTATGAATCAACCTCTTTATGTCAGAGAAAACATTCAACATTTGGTCTTTTGAGATTGGCTAATTTAGCATTATCTTCTCTAACTCCATCCATTTACCTGCAAATGCCATACCCAAAGGACTTAAGAACAGCATACTACAGGGACACAGCCACATCAATGTTTATAGCAGCACAATTCACAATAGAGGATAATTCATAGTGGAAAAGGGAGCTGGAGCATGAGAGGAATAGAGGAACTCTAGATAGGTAGAGGGGTTGGAGGGGAAGGGAGGGGGCATGGGGTTATTAATGATGATGTAATGTAATAATTATTATTATCCAAACTACAGGTATAAAGACATGAATTGGTGTGAATATACTGTGTATACAACCATAGATATGAAAAATTGTGCTCTATAAGTTAAGAATTTTAATGCATTCTGCTGTCATATATAAATAATAAATAAATAAATAAACAAATAGCATACAGGGACACAGCCACATCAATGTTTATAGAAGCACAATTCAAAATAGCTAAACTGTGGAACCAACCTAGATGCCCTTCAATAGATGAAGGGGGAAAAAATGTGGTATAATAACACAATGGAATATTACTCAGCAATAAAAGAGAATAAAAACAATATTGTATTTCTGATCTATATAATTTCACACTCATGTCAGATTATTTTACAGGTCCCCATAGATACTAAACTCAATGATAATGACTTACATTGGGACAACATTTTGATGTATGTTCCAGGGGCACTCTATCATAAAGCCACATCCTCAGCCCTCTTATTTGTTTATTTATTTATTTATTTTTAAATTTTGGGACAGAGCCTTGATAAGTTGCTGAAGCTGGCCTCAACTTGTGATGCTCTTGCCTCAGTTTCTTTAGTTGCTAGAATTTTTGGCATATTCTACCATGCCCAACTGTACTTCAACTTTTTCATGCACATAACACTGCTGTGATATGAACAGGGCAAATAATTTCCCTATTTTATATTTTAAAAAGTCATAGATAGAACTCAGATGGAAAAATAAGTAAAAAGTCAAACACAGGTCCAAACCTGTGAAATATTTCAACTCTGCTCTTGATAGCAAGTCACTTAATATCTTTGAGCTTTGGTTTTCTGGTATATAAAATGGGAAAAGTTATTGGCAATAACTGTTGCCATGTTCTGTAGCTCAATTGTGATCATATATGTGAAA